CGGGGGACCGGCGTGTGGAGATGAACTGCTCGCTGTTTTCCTGGATGTGCTTGCCTGTGCTTTGGTTTCTGCTGCCTTTGATCACTTAGAACCAACAGCCCCAAGAAACATGTAGCTGGGGTCATTTTCTAGCCATTCATGCTTAAATAGTAGCAGGTGGCTAACAGCCTCTGGGCAGCCTCCTTCCGAGTTTCATTGAAATGCTAATGAATGCATAGGAAAAGATGAAATGTGCAACAAAGTCACAGGTGAAGGCTGAAAACTGACAATCTTGTCAAGATCAGGGAGCAATCAGGCTCACTATAAGACAGACATAAGCCCTTTTTTTAAAATGTTGTTTCTGAGATATGCTCTCACTCTGTAGTTCAAGCTGGCTTTGAACTCACTATGTAGACCAGGTTGGCCTCAAACTTGCAGGAATCCTCGTGCCTCAGCCTCCTAAGTGCTGTGAGTTTAGGTGTGCACCACCATGCCTGGCTAACCCAGCTATTTTTTGTTTTATTGTTTTGTTTTATGGTACTAGGTTGAACCTAGGGCCTTTGCAGTAAACTACCTCCCCAGATCTTTCTTTCTTTCTCTTTTTTTTAAATTGGTACTGAGGATTGAACTCAGCACCTTACACGTATGAGGCAGGTGGTGGAACCACTGAGCTAAATCCCCGGCCTCTTTCTTTTTCAAAGACAGAGTCTCATTAAGTAGCCCACGCAAGACTTGTGACCCTCCTGTCAGCCTCGAAAGTGCTGGCATTCCAGCTATGCAGCCTCCCAGTGCTGACTAACCCAGCTATTTTAAAAGAGAAATCCTTGCGGGTTTTGTTTATGAAATGGAAAAATTAGTAAATAGCAAAGCAGGGGAAAACACTTCTAACACATATGACAGAAAAAAAGGTTATGTTTTCTGAAAGAGAATATTGACGCTCAACAACTAGGCCTCGCCCGCGCGCGCACACACACACACACAAACACACACACCCACACACCCAGAGGTCCGACTGGAGACTTTATTCAGGGAGCCGCAGCAGAGAGGGAGAAAGGGAACAAGAGAGAGAGCAGAGAGAGAGGATAACAAAGAAAGGAAGGTCATTTTATTGGTTTTGGGCTGGGCTGTTGCTCATTTACGAGGAGTGGGCTACCTTTAACCCACCACAGGCCAGGTTGCCCTTTATGGGTTTGGTCCTGCAGAAACAGGTTTAACCTCTCCGGACCGCTGTGGCCTTGGGGGGGAAGGGAAACTACAGATAAGAGCATGAGGTCTTTAAGAGCCAAGAAGCATCAGGAAAATGCAGCTGTGATGGCAGCGTCAGGTCCCTAACATATTCTTTGTTAGGAGTTCTTTTTCTTTCCATTTTAAACTCTAGGTGAGTCCTGCATGTCCCCCCTTCTTTATTCTTTAAAATTAATTTTATTGGTTCATTTTAGGTACACAATATAATGATATTCATCATTGGAAATCTGTACTTTTACATGATCTGTCTTGGTAGGAGTTCTTAAATATAATTTTAAAATATCAAATACATCACTAATAAATACACTTCTTGGTGTGAAAGATACCAAGAAGCAATTCACATACAGACACACAAATTCACTCAATAAATGTGGGGTGAATTTTATTATGATCAGACACCCTTTCAAGGCCCTATGGTCTGGTCCTGTAGCCTGATTTAGCAGATAAAGAAGAAAAAGATAAATGTATAATATAATTTCTGGCAGAGATAAAGAGTGAGAAGATAAAGACAAGGGAAAGGAGGTGTGGGGGTTGTACCTCAGGGGTGCCTTCAGGTAGGATGATGTGTGGAGGTCCTCTAGTGGGGGCGTGGAGGCAGAGACTGAGTAATATAGAGGGTTGAGCCATGAATAGATGGGATAAAGAAGGATCCAGGCAAAGAAAGGCACAAGTGCAAATGGCCTGTGGTAGGAAAGAGGTCAGTCTATTTCGAGAACAGCGAAGAGTCCGGTGTGGCTAAATGGAGTATGGGAGGAAAACTGTGGGATATGGGGCTGCAGAGTAGGCAAAGAATGTACCATGTAAGGCCTTGTAGGTCTTAGTAGGAGTTTGGGAACCTTGGAAAGGAGGTGGGAGCCGTGGGGAGGTTTCGAGTGCAGAAGTGACGGCATCTGACCGCTGCAGAGAGGATGGGGAGGGCAGAACCATGATTAGCCAGCGTCATGGAAGCCCACAGAAGGGTGTGGTGTTGCCCAGGACGGATGGGATGGAGTAGATGGAGGGAAGGTCGTGCAGTTGAGAAACGTGTGCTGTGAAGGACAGGCTGGCTGGGCTTCGTGAGCTGGGAAGGCGGCGCGGAAAGGGCATCCAGGATGACCACCGGCTTCTGACCAGGGCTGAGCACCAGCTCACCGGAAGGGAGAGGTCTCCTTCTGGTGCTAGGACAAGGAGGGAAGTCTGGGCCGGAGGAGAATGCGTGGAGCGTGGAGCTCAGTGCAGAGAGCCGGTAGGGATTAAGGTATTGTGATCGCCTGGGGAGAGAGAAGAGAAAGGGCCAGAGACAGAGCCCCAGGGCCCTCTGTGTGGGATGAAATCACTATGGAGACAGGAGGCCAGACGTGCACAGTGAGGTCGGGAGGTGGAAGGGAGGCCCTGTGACCCTTTGCTCCACTGCTGAGTTGGGTCAGGGAGCACCAGAGCCTCCCACTGAGGCTGGGGGAGCCAGGAGGGGGCAGTGTGAGAGCAGGGAAGGGGAACTGGGGCCAGCACTTCGTGCAGAGGTGTAGGACCAGAGCTGCGGGAGGTATGGAGTCAAGAGGAGGCTCCTGCAATCCCTGGAAGCGCTCCGTCCGGCCAAGGGGGAAGGAGGGTGAGGGCAGGAATCCAGTCCTAATCCCAGGGAGGGACCCGGGCCGCAGGGTGTGCACGTAGCTGTGGACCATCCTTCTGGTTCTTTCTATTATCTCAGAGAAATCATGCGTTTGTCAAGCTGCTCTCACACTGCCAGCGGAAGTGTAAACCAGCCTGCCTTACGCTTCCGGCTCAGCAGCCTGGCGTATTCCTGCCCCCATCCAGGGCTTCCGGCGTGTGCCCGGAGCTCCCAGAGCTGAACCGGGCTTCCCTGGCTGACTAGAGTGACGTCCGCCAGGGAACGCAGCTTGGGTTTTCAACGACTTGGCTTGTGTATAAAGTACAAATGATTTGCAAAATGTAACCTAGGAAGAATTTGGAAGCTATTTAAGTACAGTTGCTCACGTCTCTCTACTTTCCTTCCCCAGGGAATGGGCCGCACCCTGCCCGGAGAAGTCCGGATCCAAGCACACCCAAGACAGCGGTGGCCCCAGCTGCTTCCCACCTCCACGTCCCACCTCAGCAGTGCTGCGTCTTTGCCGGAAGGGGCACTGTGAGGGGTGAGCCCATGGCCTATGCACTGGGCTGCACTCCCCAGCCCTATTTAATTTTTTTTTTTTTTTTTTTTTTTTTTTTTTTTTTTTTTTTTTTTTTTTTGTTTGAT